CCAGAGTCCAGAGTTACGGCAGCTTGGGAGGGGGTGGGCCTTATTTTCGGAGAGGTCTTATTTTGGGGAGGGATGCCTTATAGTTCAGCAAGAGGCAAAACTGTAAGTAGGTCTTATTTTCAGGGGATGTCTTACTTTCAGGGAAACACAGTAGGTTCTGCAAATGAAGGTAGTGGTAGCCAAGTAACGCTTACTATGCAAATGAACCATGGGTGGCCTCCCAGGGCGGACTGGGCTGGGTGGCAGGACAGGCCTTAAAACTGACAAGGAATCTGTAGACCCATAGGAGCCCTGATGGCATCGTGGGTTACAAGATGGGGCGCTGATGGCAGGGCAGTCTCAGCAGTTTGAAACTCCTAGGCACTCCACAGAAGATGGGGCTGTCTACTCCTGTAAAGAGTGACAGTCGGGGAAACCCACAGGGGCACTTCTACCCTGTCCTATAGGGGCAGCGAGTGGCAGCGAGGGAGGTTTGGGGAGACCTAAGCAGCCCGAAGAACCAGCAGGAAGCAGCTGAAAGAAGAGGGGATGGGGATGGGGGCGCGGGGGGAGCAAGGAACCTCCCCAAAGAACTGTAAGCTGGTCAAGCGCTGAAACGCAAACAGAGCAGGCCCGGTTGGGGTGGGCGGCGGCGCCAGTGGCAGCAGCCCAGAAGGGGCCCAGGGGCAGAAGGAAAAACAGCTTGTCCTCAGGCGGGGGCAGGGGAGCCTGTCCCCGGGAGGCCCACAGGAGGCCCTGCCTGCCTGGCCAGATTCCTGAGCTGCATCCTGTTCCTTAAAAAGTCACTTAACCCTTAAGTGTGCGCCGTGCATGCACTGAGCAGACCTGGTGGTGTCCTGCGTCCCGCGTGGGCTGCTCCCCACAAGGCCGGCTCTTTGAAGCCTCTGCTCCCCGGCAGACGGTAGGGGCTTTCGACTCCAGGAACGAGGGACCGTCCCGACAGTGCAGGCCGCGGCGGGGCGGTTCTACCCTGTCCTGTAGGCCTGCGAGGGGTCGCCACCTATTCGATAGCAGTGACGTGGGTTGTGCTTTATTCGTGAGTTTACTGTGTGACCCTGGCCAGGGCGTAACTGCCCCAGGGAAGGAGAGTGCGCTGGGAGGGCTAGCTGGTGTCGGGCTTGGGGCAAGAGGTGGGCAAGCGGATGTCCATCCGAGTCTCCCGCACAGGGCTCCATGGCCTGGGCTGGCCTTCCTTGGCCTCCGCAGCTCTCCATGCCTGGCACTCCTGCTAGCGCTCGCGTTCAAGGTCTTTCCAAGGGACTCGGATACACCACCCCAGTCCTGCACCTACCTTGGAAAAGAAATATTAAAAAAACGAAATGCCCATGCAACGTCGTCGACCCCTGGTACCGTGTGTTGCTGCTAGGGACTGCGGGGTTGGTTCGGAGTCCTGGCAGCGCCATCTGTGGCCATCAGAAGGAACCGCTGCGGGTCCTGAGCCGTTTGCTCAGGCGTTAGGTCTGAGCCCACTGTTGCAACCACTGAGTCAATCTCTCTTGGTCCAGGTCTTCCTCTGTCTCACTGCCCTGCCACTTGCCCACGCACACTCTCCTCTACCAGGGACTGGTCTCTCCTGATCACGTGTGCGGACCACGTGAGACAAAGGCGCGCCATCCTTGCTTGGCAGGTGCGTTCTGGTCGTGCTTCGTCCAAAGCCGACTGGTTTGTTCTCCGGGCGTCCGTGGTACTGTCAATACTTTGCACCAGCACTGTCATTCAAATGCATTCATTCTGCTTCCGTCTCCCTGATGGAATGGCCGACTTCCCTACAATTGGGTACGGTTACCATCAACTCTTGAACCTTGTGACCCGATCAACACCTCAGGTGCCTTGGTGGCACCATCCAGGTACCTGTGGGGCTGCTCACGGAAAGGCCAGCAGTTCCAAACCACCAGCAGCTCTGAGGGAGAAAGGTGAGGCTTTCTACTCTCATGGAGTTAGAGTCTTGGAAATGCACGAGGGTAGTTCTACCCTGTTCTATAGGGTCACCGTGAGAATCGACTCGATGGTAGTTAAATTTGACTTCGAATTTAAATAACAAATGTCTCCCCCAAATAAAAATATGGATGTGGATATGGAGTTAGATCAAAGCAAACATTTCCCCAGACATCAAATGCAAAACTGGGCTCAAAGTAAAGGAGTGTCACACACAAACAAAACATGTTCTGATGTGGCTCCGCAATCAGTGGATGGCGCTGTAAAGAAGCCCTGAGTCTCCGAAGGGAGCCTTCAGGAAAATAAACCGGCTCAATCGAAATAGTGGTTTCCCAGGGGAACTGCTGGCCCGTGAAATCCATTACAGAGGTAATATTTCAGAAGGTTTAGTGACAGGTTTGGGGGACCTTGTGGGGGTCATCTTGAGTTTTTTTGAAAACTCAAACTCGCTGCCGTTGAGCGGATGCTGACTCCGGGACGCTAGAGGTCCGGTGGAACTGTCCCTGTGGGTTTCCGAGACCATGACCTTGGCAAGAGTAGAAAACCTCACCTTTCTCCTGATGAGCAGCTAGGCCGCCTTAGCTGTGACCTTGTAGTAACGTCCCACCTTGTAACCCTCTCGGCCACCAGGGCTCCTTCAGCTCTGCGATCTCCTCCTGGTCAATCTGAAGGCACGGCCCTCCCACCAGGCCCAGTCTTGGACTTGGGACTCCAAACACTGAGTGAACACTGTGAGCTATTACTACCTTGTAACAAAGCAAATGAAGATCCGAAAGGAAAATGCAGGGATCTCCGTTCATTTTCCAAGATAAAACTGGGCATGGCAGGGGTTAGGTTTGATTTTTAATCTGTGTTTATTGACCAAGGAAACTGCTACAGAGAGGTTAGGCCGCACTGGTTCAAAGTCACTGGCCTGAGTCCTGCCTCAGCCTCCCCCTGGGTTCGCAGCCTCAGCTAGGAAGTGGTGTCAAGGTGCTCAACACCTGTCTCTATGATTCCACAGTGGACATTGTAACCCGGGGTCAGAGGATCAGAAGCTAGTCCCTAGATGTACTTCATGTGGTTGACCCAGTGGTGCTACCTGAAATCTGAATTAGCTGTTAACATTTCAAATTTGGGAGATTTCACCTAAAACACCCATTTGGGGTTTGTTTTGAGGCATAACATCTGGGCACACCTTCCTGCATGTCGCACACCTCACTTGGCTCACTCTGGTCCCTGCCTGGTCCTGTGGACCCGGGTGACTGCCTCCCTTTGGTACAGAATTGAAGGAGGCAATGAATGATGTGATGATTACACTCTTCTCAACCTGGCGGGGTGCTTGCTCTCCACTTGCAAGTAGCAGGAGCTCTAGACCCAGAGCCCAGAGCCCAGAGGGGCAAGTGGGGCCATGTCTTGCTAGTCCTGGGACTCCTGAGGAAGTCAGGAGACAGGGATCCTCTCTTGGCTGGGAAGAGTGAGGATGAGGTGGAAGTGAGAGGCTGGGGGTAACTGAGATTAAGCAAAGTGCCTTAGGCAGGAGCCAAAGGGGTGGATGAAGCTGCACAGGGGTCTCCAGCCCAGCTCCCCATGCAACTCCAGACCTTGGGGACCCCTGGTTTCCTGGACACTTCTTCCTGGATAACTCCCAGACTCATCCTACCCACTGAGTCCCACACTGGCATCAGTGGCTCTCTAAATGTACAGGCAGGCGTCCTCAAATGTGGCCCGCCGGTTGTTTTTGCCCCATTTGTTTTTTTACTTCAAAATAAGATATGCGCAGTGTGCATAGGAATTTGTTCATAGTTTGTTGGGTTTTTTTAACTATAGTCTGGCCCTCCAACGGGTCTGAGGGACAGTGAACGGGCCCCGTTTAAAAAGTTTGAGAACCCCTGTGTACAGGTCTCTTTGGGTTCCATCTCAGGGTGGTTCCACTTTCCCCCAGGGAGCTGCGGATGCCTCTCCCTCCCCCATATCAGCTCACCAGCCTGTCCAACTGAGTATCTCTTGCGCCCAGCCCAGCCCTAATCCACGCATCCTGGTCCTGTCCCATCCTCTCCCAGGGCTCCCAGCCTCAGTCTCCCCTTCTGATCCACTTCCATAAGACGGTTACAGCAAGCTATCTGTAGCCCAACGGTTCTCAATCTGTGGGTCGCGACCCCTTGGGGGGGGTGTCAAATGACCCTTTCACAGGGGTCGCCCGATTCATAACAGTAGCAAAACTACAGTAATGAAGTAGCAACGAAAATAATTTTATGGTTGGAGGGGGGGGTCACCATAACACGAGGAACTATATTAAAGGGTGGCGGCATTCGAAGCATTAAGAAGGTTGAGAACCACTGCTAGCCACTCCTGCTCCGATCATCCCATTAGAAACCTCCTAAACCTGTGCAATCCCGTCTACCGCTCTGCCAACTCGCATTTATAATCAAGTCTCCACTCTATTCATGTTAATCAACGCCTCACTTGGTTCATTTCCCCCAGAGCAAAAACTGAAGACCTCACCAAAAAGCAAACAAACAAAAACCACACCCACCGCCATCGAATGGATGCCAACTTGTAGGGACCTATAGCTCCTGTGGGTCTCCGAGACTGTATAGGCAGAGAAAGGCCCGTCTTTCATTCTTCCTCTTCCTCGCCCATTGCCCTTCACCAACCAGTCCTGGGTTCCCACCAGCTCTGCTCAGTCCCAAACTACGTCCCCTCTGAGTTTCAGTTGCTCCCGCCTCACTGGCTACTCTCTGGGGATGACTGGGATACAGTAAGTGCGGGGCTTGAACGCGTCGCTGTCTGTACCTCAGGCGCCGAACTGACCCACTGCTGCGCATGGGGAAACGGAGGCAGAGCCAAGTAAAGGGCCCTTCTCCTAGCTGCACGCTAAGGAACCCTGCCTCAGCCGCCACCAGTCCATTTCAAAGCTACCTTGAGCAGAGGGAGGTGAAGGTGGCACGTATCGCGATAGTCAGTTGGATTGCAGGGAGTCGTCAGCCAGATCGTGACAATCAATCATGTTTGTCAAAACGACCAGACTTCGATCAGCTGAGTGCTCCCGCGGCCTCCACAGGCCCGCGACCTCGGCTCCTCACCTGATTTCTCCACTTTTACTTTCACCGGGAACATGGTTTGGGCTCGGGATCTGCTTAGCTGGGTCGGATGAGTCCCAGCTCTCGAGGGGGTCACACTTCTAAGCCGGGGGCCGGGGAGGAGAGCTGACAGTCCTCAATCAGCGGCGTCCCGGTAAACGACCATTACCACTCTGCTTTCCCGACTGAGGGCGGGCCTTCGGGGGTTTGTTATAAATGCCATTCGTCAATGTACCCGTCGATCTCGTTTGCTAACCAATTAACAGCTGGGATCGTAGATTTCTCGCTCTAAGTCCCACCTTCTGGGGGCGTTTCCGGAAGCAAACCAACGCCTGGCCCATGAGCAGCCTGGGATATGTAGTTCAAGCCCTAGCGACTCCAGAAGCACTACAACGCCTGCGCCTCGCGGGGCACGATGGGAGATGTAGGATTGGGCATCCCGAGGCTTCTTGGGACTTGTAGTATTAGAAGAGCTGAGCTACACCAATTTACTAGGGTGGCCTAGTGGACTACTCTTTAGGTTGCAGTTCAAATCCAGAAGCCGTTCCTCAGAAAAAGTTGACATTAAAAAAAAAAAGACTGAAGACAAAGCGGGTCCATAAGCAAAAGCGATGAAGAAAGCTGATGCCTGGCTGTCAAAAGATATATAATCTGGGATCCTATAGGCTGGAAGATTAAACAGGGGTCCATTTAACAGAAACAACAAAGCCCACATGGAAGAAGCACACCAGCCTGTGAGATCACAAGGTGTCGAAGGGATCAGGTATCAGGCATCA